TTTATCAATGGCTAGAAAAATGAATCAGAGAGAAAGGAATGTGATCTGTAATTTTGAATACATATTAGTAAGAACACCATGGAGTGATTAATTAATACTGTTTAGGATAGTTAACCATAACTATTACTGTTATCTACTACTATATCTATTACTGTTATCTAAATATATGTACCCAGACAATATGCTCTTTGCTAAATATCGAAAATGTTACCTGGGGAAACCCTAGCCCCAACCTAAACCCTAATCCCAACCCTAACCCCAATCCCAACCTAAACCCTAATCCCAACCCTGACCCCATTCTACCTCTAACCCTATAAAAACTAATAAAACTTTTCAAAAAAAAAAGTTCAAAATAACGGCAACAATTTATGCATATACACTATAATTTTGAAAACCCAAGTTTTCGCACCCCCTGGAATATCATCTCGCACCCCCAGTTGGGAACCCCTGATCTATTCTATAGCAAGTGCATTAATCTGGCAAGATTCCTGTCAATAGGCGAGTAGCAATAAACATACCACTTTGATCAGCTCCTTGTGTAGTTTCTGGTTCCTTGTGCCTGAAAGGAGGTGAGCATGTGCTGAAAAATAATAAAAGAAAATTGGGGGCTTGGGTAGGTATACCTTCCTTGAATTCAAGTGCAGCGGTGGATAAGTGAAGGGAAGATGCTGGAAATATTGATGGGCAGGCTGATACAGAGGTCATGCAGAGATGGAGAGGAGAGAGGAACAGGTTTATCAACCTTCCTCTAGTTCCCCTGTCAGATGAAGGAGCCACCTGACAAAGAAACTAAGGCAATATAATCCATAAGCTATCTGGGTTTGGTTTGGACAGATTTTTACTTCCTGGAAAAGTCTGGATGACCTTTTAAGCCAGACTGTTTGACCAGCTTACCCTATAGTAAGATGGGCAGCCAATAAATTTTATAAATAAAAAGTAAAATAAAAATTCATGCTTGAATCAAAACACATTTTCCATTTTGTGTATATCTTCAAATGTTTGACATTCACCAGTATGAGGTATTTTCATGCCATAAGCAGTACATGAAAACAAGAAGTCCTCAGCGTTTTGTTACGTAGAGTAGTCACACTGACTGAAAATTCTTGAGTTGAGAGCCCCAGAACTACAGGGCTCAAAATTGCAGAAAGTTATACTAACATTTGATTCACATATATGTCTGTTGAAAACTGTACAACCTGTGTCTTATAACTCTAAGAAATAATCATGCAGGAAGAAAGTTCTGCTAAATGCCTTCTCTTCCTAACCCCCTCCCAACTTTAGGAAGCCATGCATATTCTCTTCTGTATAATAGGGCGTGTCAAATTTTTCAACTTCCAATTTTCAAACATTAGGGGTGCTCAAAATTTGTGACATGCCTTGGGGATTGTAAAGATATTTTGGTTACTTTAATATAATTTAGATGTGCTTGGTAAATAACTACATATCATACCTTTTAAACATTTTGTTTGTTTCATTTCACAGGTTCAGCTGTCTTTCTCTTTTTGTTAAATGTTATTTTGTCTGAGAGTGTTAATACTGCTGGCCTCGTTTCCTGCGAGTGTGATAACTGATCTGTAATGGCTTCTAAAAAAAGAACAAGACTGGGAACATTCACTCATATTAGCAACTTAATTGGGACTGGCAGAGACTTGTTGCCATTTGAACTCCCAACACTGTGAGACATTCTCAGATATGGCCTACTGTTAAGAGAACAAAGTAGTGATGATGCTAGAAACTACCCAGCAGCCAGTCTTGCAAGAGACATATATCCAAAAGTGCTTGAAAAGTGGGAATGAGCAAACAGTTCTTTGGTGACCCCTGTTGTAAATTCACGAGTGACAATTTTGAACAAGATCCAAGAGAGCTGGGATCAAGCCAAAAACATCTCTTGGTAGAGGAAAGCTAGATGTCAAAGAGACTTTCACTGTGAAACTTGACAAACTGTTTGACATCTTCAACTGCAAGTGTCAAATTGTTCTGTGTGCCGAATTCTGCTGCCCTGCTGGCTGCAAAAAAGAAGCTCACATTAACTCTACCTGCCCTAAGGAGACGAAGATACCATTGAAGGAACTTTCTTTCGTTAAAGGTCAGAGAGACAAGATTGGTTCTTTTGGATCACACCTGATTGGTTTGCCAGATGTGCCCGAGCAGAAATGACTAGTCAAAAGGCAAAAGCGGCAAGAGACAAAGTCTTGCTAAATGTAAGCAGAGAAGTATTCCAGACATTTTGATACTGACAAATGAAGTAATTATCTCTTATGATGAAAATGAAGGACAGATGATGAAGATGAAGAGGAATGTGATGGAAGTTATGAAGAGGCCTTAGACCAAACACACGTGCCCTCTACTTCAAAAGAAAAGACAGAATACAATATATTAGAAATAACAAATGTTGCTACGCAGAGCATAAGATACGGTGTTGGTCTACGTGCCACTGCTGCCATTACCACAGCCGCCTTCATAGATGCTGGCTTGATCACTGAAGAAAACAAGAGACTTGTAGTTGACCACAATAAACTCAAGAGAGCCCAGGAAAAAATTATGAAGTCCCTAGATCAAGAATTTGATGGGCTCTGTAAAAAGGGCGAAATAGAATGCATCTTCTTTGACAGCCGTATAGATGCAACTAAAGTAATGCTGAAAGCAAACAATTCAGACCAGCAATTCCCCAGTACCATCAAAGAAGAACATTCTGTGTGCAGTGAGCTGAGTGGAAGATATCTTTACCATTTCACTCCAGAGAAAGGCTCAAAAACAGAAAAACCTGCTCAAGTGATTGCTTATAATGAAGTCTGATATTGGAAGATCACTTGTCGGCCGTGACCAGGGGGGCGTTTTATCAGGTTCGCCTGATGTACCAGTTGCGGCCTTTTCTGGACCGGGACGCCTTGCGCACAGTCACTCAGGCTCTCGTCACCTCCCGCCTGGACTACTGCAATGCTCTCTACATGGGGCTCCCCTTGAGGAGCATCCGGAGGCTCCAGTTAGTCCAGAAT